AATGGAAGTGGAGCAAATCATATTCATAAAAAGAAAAATCCCAAAATGTTAACTCTGGTCTGACAACTTAAATGAAAACGAACAAATGTATCAAAATGTATCATAGACCTAAATATAAAAGGTACAACTATAAAACTAGAGACCAATACAGGAGAAATTCTTTGTAACCTTGAGATATGAAAATATTTCTTATATAGAATCCCAGGGGGGAAAAATTGAATTTTAAAATGCAATTAAAAAATTTTTAAATGCAGTGAAAGAAATGAGCAAAGATTTCAAGAGATAATCTACATAACATGAAAAAATGTTCAAGTATCATTATTACATTATTCACCAATAAAATACAAATTAAAGCTATAATAAGACATCACTACACACTCACCAGAATAGCAAAGACTGGCAACAGCAAATGTTTACAAGAATGTAAAAAAAATTTACTTGTATACATTGTTGTGGGAGTGGAAAATGTTACACCCACTATGAGGCAAGGTCTGGTCTTTTTAAATAAAAAAAAATTAAAAAACACATTTTATTACAATAGGCCATAAGAATATAAAATGTCTCCACAGATCTTCTTAATATGATTGAACAATTGGATGCTATGTAAAGTATATGCCAATAAGCTATTTTTTATAAAAGAGAAGGAAAAATGTCTCAGTGACTCCAACCACAGACACAAGAATGAACTAACTTGAATCTGTCTTCAATCCAACTAAACACAGACACAGTCCTAGAAACTGCTGCAATCTCTTAACTGACTGAGACTTGTGTGCTTCTGCCACCCCCACTCTAGCAAAGCAAATCATTTAAGATTAAAAGGGCAGCATCATGATGAAGTCAACATATGTACTAATGTGCTGGACACAAATGATGTATGTACGGATTGTGATGAGTTGTATGAGCCCCTAATAAAATGATTATTTAAAAAAAAAAAAAAAGGGCAGCATCTACCCAGAGGCAAAGATGGTGCATTGAATTAGAATGTGTGTGAATCGTTGACTGTAAAACATCTGCTCTGTAAACCTGTTAGATTCCTCAGGTGGTAAATACCTCAGTCTTTTCTTGAGAAAGAAATTAATGTTGAAGCCTGGTTTCTGATCCAAGTGGGTTTTTATAAAGGATAGAAGAAGTGTCGGGTTTTACAGTTTACTGAACACGGGACTGCACCCCCACATGGCTGAGCAGAAAGCGGAGGAGCAGCTAAAAGGAAGGCGGTCTGGTCATTTTTAATAAAATTAAACACATACCCACCCTTTGAACAAGAAAATACAAAACAAGTCTGTGCAATGACATGCAAGTATGTTAATAATAGCCACTTTGGAATCTGCCCAGATTTCATCAGGAGAATGAGTAAATAAATACTGTATATTCAGACAATGAAATACTACTCAGTAATATAAAAAGGAACAAGCTACTGACACGTGTTAATAACACACAAGAATTTCAACAATATTATGTTCATTTAAAAGTGTACTCCAAAGCTTTCACACTCTATGATTCACTGCTCTTGACTAGGTGAAATGAAGTGATTACTAAAGTAATCAAAACAGTATTTCCTCTTGGGTGGGACTGATTGAGAAGAGGGAAAGAGAGTAATGATATATTCTGTAGCCTGATAGGGGTTTGAGTTACACTGGTGTATGTACTAGTATTTGTTAAAACTCATCAGATAGTATACATCGGCTATGTCATTTCACTGTAAATTTTATATAAAAAGGAAAGCAAGTCATTTCAATTACTTACATGCATTTAGGGGTAGATTCATTGATGTCCACACTTACATACATACTAGAGTATAAGCCAACCTGAATATCAGCTGAGGCACCTAATTTCACCACAAAAACCACATTAAAAATGTGCTGGAAAACTCGGCTTATACATGAGTATATGTGACATTTCAAAATTAATAAAAAGATATGTTGATGGATGAGAAGAGGGATAGATAAATGGGAAATTATGTGAGAAATCAAATATGTCAAATTATTAATGGCAAAATCTAGGTGCTGGGTATATGGGTATTTACTGTATAATTATTTCAAATTTTTAAATTATAATAAATATATATTTATAAAAATATACTTTGAGACTACAAGTAATAGAACTCTATTTTATTTTTTGAAGTCTATTTAAAAATATTTAAGTACATTTGAAAAAGAACCAGGAGAAACCAATATGAAGAGATGAGAGAATGCGTCTCAGATTGATGAAGGCCCACATGCTGCCACATCCCTGAGTTCAGCACCTGCACCCTGCTGCCACCACTCCCAAGAGAAAGGCTGAAGGGGTGGCTAAGCCTAGGGATATGAAGGCAAGATGAAGGATGAACCTCAGAGGAGATCTGCAAGGTTATCTGCTAAACCAATCCTCCAAATCCAGAGATGAAGTCTAAGGAGAATTACCCTGCAGAAAATGGAGGTGCCAAAACAAGGCCAGACATAGAAAGCTGAAGGTAATGGAGATGCCAGGTGAAGCCTGTGAATTTTTTATAAATATGTACTTCTGGTACCTGACATACCTATTTTTCCCCTTGTTAAATAGACAAAATTTGGGTTTACTGTTTTTGTTTTTTTTAATTCTGCTGTCAGAACACAGAACACTGCATCATGGTTTGGGTAGGAAGGGGCAAATGTCACTAGTAGGATGTCTCCAAAGCTGGATTGATAGGGGGAAAAACACCTTTCCCTTATAGTTTTGAGACACACCTGGCACAAATGCCTTTTATATCTCTATACCCTTTTTTCCCTTTCTGCCTTTAGCAGAGACTTGACTCCCATAAACCCAGACACCTCCTGGGACCTGACCTCATGAGGCTATTTTAATGACATCCCTCAAAAGGATATTAATTGTGAACAAGATTCCCTGGAATGCCATCCTGTTGCATAGAAAATGAGTCCTCTAAAAAGCAGGAGGAGGGAATCTCATTACCAGCAAGAACCAGCAGTGGAGCATGTTCTCTGGGCCCAAGATCTCTGGGCAGAGAACCTCCTATAATCCAGGGCAGCTAAAACAGAAGAGGAGCAGCAGCAAAACCATGAGTCAGGGCACATAACAGAGTGGTGGACTTCCCAACCCACAGAGCAAGTAAAGCTGAGTGCCTCTGTGCAGAACGTTGGTTGGCAGAAAGGAGAGGCTCTGAGCACTTAATCGAGGAAGCTGGGCTTGCTGACCCACGGAAGTGGAGCGGAGTGTCTTCAGCTGAGGTTTAATCAAGTAGGCTCTCTCTGAGCACTTTATTCAGAAAGCTGGATTTGTTGACCCACAGAGCTGGAGTTGAATGCCTTCAGGTTGAGGCTTACAGTGTCCCTTTGGGCTAAATATTAGCAGACCTGAAAGAACTTTGTAAGATGTTCTAATGAACAACTATCCGGAGCATTTCTCAGTGGCCTTGCAACTTGGATCTTAGAACCCAAAGAGTTAAAATAGAGAACAAATTAAGACAACTTACTGCTTATTAAATTCTCCAACCTGGCAATTCCACTACTGAGTAGATATATTATCCAGATAATATCTTCCACATGTGGAAAGTCTCTAGGAAACTGATGTAAGAATTTCATGGTAGCATAATTTATAATTAAAAACAAAACAAAAAAATAGAAACCATTCAAATGTCCATTATTAGTGCCATAGGTAATCTGTGCTATATTGTTAGATAAGGGACTCCTACATAGCAGTGAAAGAAGACCAAAGTAGATGTCAGAAGAGACTCTGAAGCTTGCTCTTGAGAACAGTATAGTGAAGCACAAATAAAATGTTATTATGATATTGGTGAAATGTTCTGATGATGTTGGTTATTATGATGTTACTGAACCCTCATGAACTGCTAGAACAACCAGCAAAAGTCTTGAAGAAACACAGCTAGAATGCGCCTTAGTAGTAAGGACGGCACGATTCTGTTGCGCATTCGTGAGCTCTGTCATCTGGATGACAAAGCTCTGGAGAAGGAGACTATGCTTGATGTAAATCAATGAAAAAGAAGAAAATCCTCCTGACTATGAATTGACTCAGTGAGTGCCAGTGGGCTCAAACAGAACATTTCTGCGGCTGGACAGGAACCGGGCAGTGTCTCCTTCTGTTGTACCTGTGGTCGCTATGAGCCAGAACCAACTTGATGGCCCTAACAATAACACAGCAGTGAAACACAATGAGTACAAGTACAGTAATCAGCAATATTCATAATCAGGAATGCAACACTGATTGACAAAAATAAAGCAAGACGTAAAAGAAAACATACAATCTAGATCCACCAATACGTTGTGTTTCCTCTCTCACTGCCAACAAGTCGGAATGGACAGGGTAGAACTGCCCCTGTGAATTTCCCCACTGTAAATTTTTATAGAACAGAAAGCCTTGGCTCTCTCCTGAATAAGTTGTGTAGAAGCACAAATAAATGTGACAAAACTATAAAGAATGAGACCTCCCCCCCAAGACTATAGCCCTTAGTCACCCTTCAGATCTGGAACTGAACTCACCCCTGTGTTAGAATAATAAACCACCGAGGCTCAAAAAGGCAACATTTACCCAAGGACAGAGGGTTAAGAAAGGAGGCAGAATGGAAACAGGAAACACTCAGAAGAAGTGGGATAAATATAGAGGGGATTTAAAGGGAAGAATTAAAACAAACTGAATAAATTATTAATAGTAAAACTGAACTATCTGCTTGCTCTGTAGACTTTCACTTTTATCACAGAAAGTTTTATAAAAAGTAAATGATAATCAGAAGTCATATTGAGGATAGCAGGTAAGGGCAGAGGACAGGATCAGAGAAGCCCGAGGGCCTCAGACGTCATGAAAAAGTCCTACTTGACTGGGTGGGAGATACTTGATGTGATTTATATTGTTCATCTTTAGACCTTCCATATTAACTTGTAAGATCCATATTAACTTGTAAGAATTATTTTGGATCTATTCAACTATTTAATACAAGTAAATTATAATACACAAAATTTTTGAAAACCTATTTTAAATGGTAAAATTGGTCTTTAATGATATTCTTTGCCTACCCGAAAAATCTTGTGCATCCTCATGGTGGCTGAACAAAAGATAAACCTTGTGAGAAGCAAGCGAAGAAATTCATCTCCAAAAAACTGAAGAAATGCCTGATCTGCAAAGAGGACAAAGGTGACAGTAAAAAAAAAAAAAAAAAAAAACCTCAAAAGAAAAATGTCAAAGAGGAAGAAAATCTTCTCAATTTTCCTGCCTGGGACAGATACCTTTAAAAATTCAAACAATTAAAAATATAACAAGACTGAGCCATAATAGTACATTCTGCCTAGCCTCCAGTTAGATTAGTTGGGTACCTATTGAACGTGAGTGAGTCAGTAGCTGGGCAATATCTCGGTTGATTTTTCGAAGATATTCTTGACACTTTTCCCAGAGGCCTCTACGCATGCTTGATAATCCAGAGACAAATAGGAAGGCCATTAGAGGATTGTTCAAAAAGAGAGTGAAGAGGCTACCTCGTTGAGATTGATCTGTAATAACAAACATGTTATAGACAACAATTTTATACAAGAGATACATTTGAGTAATATTATGTACTGACAACCTATAAAATTAAAGGGATATTATTAAATCATAGTTCAATAAAGCAGATTCTGCATGGAACTACAAAAAACATAGCCCAGGTATCTTGCTTTGTGCTGAATATTAGTAAACAAGAGAAATAGCAAATGAACATATTCTTAGCTATTGTACCAAAGTAACAATTTCTTCCACACAGAAAGTGCTGGAACACAATGCATGATGGAAATATCTGGTAAATACCGGAACAGCCCATCTTCTCCATTTTCCTTTGACAGCTGCTCTTTCTCTCCCTTCAAGGTTCTCTTCTTGGCTGTCCACATTGCTGATCTCACTGTCTCCCATGATTTGTCAGTCTGTTCCTAATGACTCCCAGTGCTCTATCTGCAGCCTAGATTGGACTCCTTAGGTCTAAAACTCTGCCGTCCTGCATTAGCAAACAGCCTCTTAAAATGTTACTGGTCCAAAATGAGACGTGCTGGTCAGTGTAAAATACATACTGGATTTCTAAGACTTAGTACAAAATAACATTATTAATACTAATTTCAACCAACTATTTTTCACTTTAAAAAATATGACTACTAGAACATTTTAAATTATACACATGATACACACAAATATTTTTACCGGACAACAATGCCTTCTAGACTATATATCCAACCTAGTTCTCACATGTAACATGTTAAAATTTAAAAACAAATGATTTCCCTTTTCTCCTCAAATATGCTTCTCAATAAGTATCTATTTCTACCTGCAACTCAGTTAGAAATCTGGGCACCCTCTGCTTTACCCTTAAATCCCCACAACTAGTCCATCAAGTCCTTTCTGGTGCCACGTACCCAGTCACTGTACTAACTTCAGCCATCACCCTCCCACCTCCTCATACGCATCAACGACCCTCTCCAGTTCATTTTCTAAAAGGTTATCTGGGTGCACTTTCCTGAGTCTCCTCTGTAGACTCTTTTGAAGGCACCCGGTGACTTCTACTTAAGTCTCTTAATAAACCATTGTATTTATTTATTTATTTAATTTAAATAAATTATTTTATTTGGGTCTCTTACAGCTCTTATAACAACCCATACATCAATTGTATCAAGCACATTTGTACATATGTTACCATCAATATTTCCAAAATTAAACCATTTTAAAAGGCTTTTTAATAACACAGCTATACAATATAAAACTCTATTCCCCTTAGCTAGAAGGAACATCTTTAATTCTCTAAATGTAACAAACTCTCTCACTTCAGGGTCTCAGCACGTGCTATTTCTCTGCTGTGAAATTCTTGTTCAACCATACCCTATTTCCAAATAAGTCCACGTTATCTTTCAAATTCATTTTAGACGACAATTCAGCCACTTCTCTCACTCTAAGTCCTGGCTAGGTTTTCCTCCTCTGGGTTCCCTGAGTTGCTTCTGATGGAATACTTACATGGCTGTCTGTATCTTTGACTAGACATTTGGCCCTAGAGCCCAAGAATTGTATTTGGTTGGTGTGGAATCTCCAGTAATGTTTGTAAAATGAAAGAAGTTAACTCTTGGCTAAAGAGAAATTAGCAGGCTTTAGTTGTCAAAGGTACAAGAACCAATCGGATATTCTAATTACTGTATTTAGCTACCTGCTAGTTTTGTGCCCAGGTGGAGGGACAACTCCCTTTTGCAAAAGTGACTGTTAATGCATATATCCACACCATTTCTCCTCCCCTGCCCCCAGGTCCCCCCAAAAGAACTTTGAATCTGCTATAATTAAGCAATCCATTTAAGGTTCTGGAGTTCTAAACTTGATAGGACAAAAGAGATGATATGGGATCAAAAAATGTCAAGGACATATAATACAAATAAATATATTAACAATAGCCAAAACACAATATTTATTATATACCTAGCACTATTCTGTTTCTATCCCTATTTGACAGATAAAGAAACCAAGCACAAAATGGTTAAGTAATTTCCCAAGGTTACTCAGCTAATAAGTAGTGGAGTTGAGATTCAAATTTCCTCAGGCAGTCTCCAAAATCCATGCTTTTATCCTTTACACGATAAAGCCATTCAGGTGACATAATCCTGATACTAATGCATTAGACCATGTGCTACTATATAAAGCTGCATCTTGACAGGATGAATGAACAGCAATAAGTTCTCTTTAAGTAATAGGAGGGTGTCACATTCTGACAAGAAACAGGATATCAAAGTCCTCAAAGCAGGAGAATTTTACCGTTGTTTGAAGGTAAGTTCTATCCCTTAAAATAATTTGGCTTCTGGATGCATGAACTTATGATTTCTACAAGTTTTTCCCTATTAAATAGCAGAACTTACCTCAAAACAACGGTGAAAGTCTCCAGCTTCTCTCAGGCATTCAAATGCTGACCATCACTTCCTGTGTCAAACTATGTCAGCAGACAGGACTTCTGGCTGGGAAGTAGCAGTAAAATGCCATCTCCCAGAGAGACATCAGCACTATTCACAGTTAGGGAGATAGTGAAACAGTGACAAGTACTGCTAAAACAGTGTTAAGGTTTGTTTAGTATTTTACCTAGCTAATTGACTGGGGAGTTAGAATTAGATTTTATGTGTTACTTATTAAGAATAAATTATCAAAGACAAAAAGTCTTTCATTTCCCAGCCAGCTTGAGCAATGGCTTCAGCACAGATCTGTCTCCCTAGCTGACTTAGAAGAGGTTCTTTTATTTTCCGAGTAGAACAAATTAAAAATGTGAACAAAAGAAACCCTTTCAGTGGTGCCAGTGTCTCATTAGAGTATCCTCATTCTTAGGCACTGTGTGGGGAACTTTTCCACACCACCAACCTAACAGTCTTAAAAGATGCCTAAAGTATGTAGCCAAAGAGACAAGCAATCATGCTACATAGATGATCTCTTAGCTTTTGGAAAGCCCCTAGTAGGCACATTTGAAAAGGCAACATCCAACAGCAAGTAACAAAACCTCCTTTTTCTCAAGGATGATTTATCTTTTCTCTTAAAGTTATTTCAAGGCTTAATGGTAGCGAAAATTAATGTTTTTTTTAAACAAGGCTTTTGAGTATATTTCAGATTGACACCTGCCACATTAAACATTCTAAGTCCATAAGTGATCATTGTGGGGAGGAAAAAACAAAGATCAGTATTATTTCACAGTCAATGTTCACTTCAACCTATGGGTAGAACAGAAAATGACAGCACATACCTTGTAATGCTTTTGGATATGCTGTCGGAGAAAGCAAGCAGACTAGTGGCTGTCCAAACAAGTTTGTGAAATTCTGTTATATAAAACAATTTAAAATACTCATTAAAAATGTGACCAATGAGAGTTACTCAGTAACATTCCTAAGCACTTTAGTGTTCTGTTTAGGCCCTTTTACTCATAGACAGATACGGAAATACCACAAATGGAAGAAGAAACTAACATGTAAATACATCTACTATGCAGAATAAGCTAAACAGAAAACAAGATCTAGGACTTGGTTCTCAGCCAATCTCACAGGCTTCGTATATAAGAATTAGCTCCATCTCTTAATGTGGATTTAACTGTCTGCATAAAATATACAAAACCAGAAGATCAATGTGTTCATTTACAATGAGAATTAAATGGGCACTCAAACTAGAATATGCAGGGTTAAGGATAGTCTTTCCCTAAAGGCAGATATAAGTATATGGTAAACAAACTCATTATCAAAACAGTATGAAAATAAAAACCCCTATAATTTATCTCATAGGAATAAATAAGAATGAAAAACCAAAAACAACTCCCAAAATAACTTTATGCCTCAATGTCAACAATAAAGACTTGAACAAATGGAAAGACAGGTGTTCCTAGAGAATTGATTTTAATGATGTCATCACATTAATTGAAATTTAACCCAATCTCAATAAAAACTACCACAAAAATTTTAAATTCTGTAAGTAAAAAAGCAAATTCTACAGTTCATACAGATATTTAGGAAAAATATGGGGGCGGGGGGGAAACAACTATTATTCATTAGATAGTAAGACATATAAAGTCTTAGTAATTAAAATTGAGTGGCATAGGTTTCCTCAGAGTTGAACACAGAACTACTAATGATCCAGCAATATCCATCCCAGATACAGACCCAGAAGAAATAAAGGTAGGAACACAAACAGAAATCTGTATATCAGTTTTCACTTTCCATCACCATCAAAAGCTGGAAGCAACTAAAATGTCTATCAACAGATGAATGCAGTCACACAATGGAACACTGTACAACCGTAAACAAGAAATAGCACCTCTAGGTGTCTTGTAAAAGCAGATGAAGATCCTCTCTGGATCAAGGTACTGTCATTCTAGTGTCAATGACTGTCCCACGAACAGTCTTACGAATAATGAGAACCCAGTTCAAAACCAAGCATATAAAGAAACACAAACACAAAGGAAGTCTTTAAACACTACAAGCAAGTATATTTTTACATAAAATGATCAAATATAGGTTACAGATTATAAAATAAACATGCTCGTTACAAAAACAAATGTGAAAACAAAAATTAGAAAATTATACAAAGTGGCATGGTGTATTGGAAATAGAAGCCAAAAGAACTTCTGGACATGAGAAATTCAGTAGAGGGATTTAATAGCAAATCAGACACAGATAAGAACAGATTTGTGAACTAAAAGCAATCAGGAGAAAGTATCCACATCTCAATCAGGGAAATAAAGAAATGGAAAAGATGGGAGAGAGGTTAAGAAAAGTAGACAACATAGTGAAAATGCCTTATATATGTTTAATCAGAGTTCCAGAGGGAGATGAGAGAAAAGATGAAGCAGAGCTGATAGTTGAAGAAATAAAATTCCATAGTCCCGTTACAAAAATAGCAAAAGACTCTAATGTAGCATGTCCAGAAATCGAACAAACCTCCTATAGGATAAATATAAAGCAACTAAGTACAGATATCACAGTGTAACTGCACAAAAGAAGATAGAGGAAGGTTTTCCAGAGCCGCAGGAAAGGAGTGAGAGGCTCACTGGAAGAAGAGCTCTTTTTTTTTTTTTTTTTAAACATTTTATTAGGGGCTCATACAACTGTTATCCCAATCCATACACACATCAATTGTGTAAAGCGCATTTGTACATCGTTTCTCAAAACATTTTCTCTCCACTTAAACCCCTGACATTAGGTCCTCATTTTTCCCCTCCCTCCCCGCTCCCCCCTCCCTCATGAGCCCTTGATAGTTTATAAATGGTTATTTTGTCATATCTTGCCCTGTCCGACGTCTCCCTTCACCCACTTTTCGGTTGTCTGTCCCCCAGAGAGGAGGTCACACACAGTTCCATGTAATCGGTTCCCGGAAGAAGAGCTCTTGTCTAACATTGTTTGTTACGTCTCCTGAGATTATCACTACCTGCGGCAGTCAAATAAGATGAGGCTATTTCAACAAATGTGCAAGTTATTTTTATTTATAGGAATTGAACTCTGTCAAATTTTCTTCTTCTAAAGAAAATAAAGGCTTTCCCAAAACAGCTAATGGCACATTAAAAGAAAACAAATGTATTCTTCTATTGTGACTATTGCTACACTTATCACACCTTTCTAGTTTAGGAAATTCTTTCCATTATCCTTAAAAACTATTTGGGGCTGTCTGCTGTGCCAACACCGCTTGTGGGCCCGTCCTGCTCCTTCTGCTCTGCCACCTTCCTTCCTGAGTGGTGCCGGGTCAGCGCTGTGGTCGACACTTAGCTCTAAGACATCTTGGGAATCCTGTCTGGCACCAGTGAGAACCAGCATACAGAAAGTTAAGGCAAGGAATACCATCCTGAAAAGAGCCCAAATGCTGGGGACAAATTCGAAGAAAAAGTTTTGCATATGAAGTACACTCAACTGCTGAAAAGTGTGAGCTATATGACAGATAGGGAGAGCAAGGTCGTAGGGATGGTAGTGGCAGCGGTGGTGGTAGAGATGATATTTTCCCTCACATTTTAATGGAGGATTGTTCAGCTTCATGGGCAATGAGAATAGAAGTCGAAATGGCAGGAAGGAGAAAGCATGATGCATCTGCTCAAAATGTCTTTAGAAAATTTGTTAATGGCAAGACAACCAAACTACAACCCAGCAAGAATGAACTCTGTAGTGCGTGCAGTGATCAAGGTGGAAAATCTGATAATCTGTACTTGTTCAGAAGCGTCATGCTTGTCGGGGTCAAGGGGTACAATCATCATCAGACAGCTCACTCCAGGAATGGGACAACGAATGCAGTCTGTGTGCTGTGATTATAATGGAGAAGGAGAGGTAATTAATGGAAAGGACTGCTGTGAAAAATGTGATGGGAAGAAGGTGATTAAAGAAGTTAAGAGTCTTGAAGTCCATGTAGACAAAGGCATGGAACATGGCCAGAGAATGACGTTCACTGTGAAAGCAGACCAGGCCCCTGGAGTGGAACCAGGAGCTCCTTTCCTTCTGCTACAACAGGAGGTACTCCAGAGAGATGGCAATGGTTTGCATATGACGAGCAAGATAGGACTTGTTGAAGCGCTCTGTGGATTGCAGTTCATCTCTAAACATTTTTGATGCCCATCAGACTGGTGAACTATGCCCCTTGGCAAAGTAATGGAACCAGCATGTGCTTGAAGTGGTGAAACCCCAGAATCACAATCCCTTTGAAAACGGTGATCTCTACATAACATTTGATGTCAAGTTTCCTGAAGATCAATGGATCAATCCAGAAAAGTTTTGGGAACTACATGATCTTCTACCATCAAGACCAGAAGTTCGTAATGTAACTGGAGACACAGAAGAGGTAGAGCAGGAATTTGAAAGCACTCGGGGCTTGGGAGGTGGTCAGATGAGGAAAGCAGCACTCACCATGGCAGTGTCCCATCAGTAAACTCTGCAAACAAATGCACAGGTGGATTGTATTTCCATGTTTACCTGATTAGTTTCCAGCGAATTAGCCAGAATGTCTGATCAAACCAGATGAACTGATGGGACAGCTCAGGTGGTCTACGTATAAACTTTAGGTTCTGTTTCTGATAACCTGTCCTTGATGTTTTTAATTTTTTTGTGGAATTTATGTTTCATATTTTTAAGTCAAACCCCACATTGTAAGCTTGTGTAAAGTGTCCTGAACCTTTGTGTTTGGCTGCACCTGCATAAGCTGTTACAAATAGAATAAAGCATTTCATAGCCTGTTATCTTTCATTTAGATGACTGGAAAATGGGCTTTGCACATAGAGGGTTTGGAGCAGACTGGGAACAATGGGAAAACTCATATTAGCTGCAGTTGTAAAGTTTGAGTTTTTTTCTGTTCTTTTGAGTTTTTTCCCCCCCCATACATTATTTTGTGAAAGGTTTTTTGGAACTCCATAATAAAAGGCAGTTGGTGTAAATTACTCTTTGTGTCACATTTTTAGATAGAACAGATTTTGAACTGACAAATGTAATCTTTAAAAACTGGATAACAAACCCAGGGACAAGGGAACAACAAGCGATCCAAATTGGTGGGGAGGTGGGTGTGGGAGACCTGGTAGGGCAGGATCAAGGGGAAC